TTGGATGAAAGAATAAGGGGCATGCTTACCAAATTCGCAGACGACACCAAATTAGGAGGAATAGCTAATATCCCAGAAGACAGAATGAAAATTCAAAATGATCTTAATAGATTAGAAAGCTGAGTCAAACCTAACAAAATGAATTTCATCATGGAGAAGTACTGCACTTAGGGCAAAAAAATGAAATGCATAGATATAAGATGGGAGACACCTGGCTTAACGCAACTATGTGTGAAAGGTTCTAGGAGTCCTAGTAGACCACAAGTTGAACATGAGTCAACAGTGTGATGCAGCAGCTAAAAAGGCCAATGTGATTTTAGGCTGCATCAATAAAAGTATAGTATCTAGATCAAGGGAAGTAATAGTGCCACTGTATTCTGCTTAGTAATGTGGGCATAAAACCTAAATGTGATTTGCCCAGAGGGTTAATAATGCATAAATAAAACCCTTATGTGCCAGTGGCTTAGATTTGAACCAACAACTTGTTGATTCACAGCTCAGACTCTGCACTCCCAAATATGTTCACTCCCAAATGTCACACTCTGCCAAGGACAATCAGATGCACTTGTCCCTTATCTTTTCTCTAGTGTCTAGATCAGGGGTGGGCAATCTAAGGCCCGGCCCCAGGCTGGTCCTGCCGCCGTCACCGCCGCGATATTGATTATTGTTGTTATTACTTGTTCTTGGGGTTTTCTTGGCAAAATCTCCACAGGGGTTTTGCCATGGCTTTTCTGGGGCTGAGAAAGTGTGCATGCATATTTTTTTATTTTTAAAATATTTATTTATTTATTTATTTATTTTTGGTGCTTTGCCCCCCCAGTTGTCTGAGGGACAGCAACCCGGCCCCCGGCTCAAAAAGGTTGCCTACCCCTGGTCTAGATTAAGGGAAGGAATAGTGCCACTGTATTCTGCTTTGGTCAGGCCCCACCTGGAATAATCCTGTGTCCAGTTCTAGGCATCACAATTCATAAAGGATGTGGAAAAACTGGAGCATGTCCAGAGAAGGGTGACCAAAATGGTGAAGGGTCTGGAAACCATAAAGTCCTATGAGGATCAATTCAGGGAGCTGGGTAGGCTTAGCCTGGAGAAGAGGAGATTAAGAGGTGTTATGATAGCCCTGTTTAAGTATTTGAAAGGGTGTCATATTGAGGATGGAGCAGGCTTGTTTTCTGCTGCTCCAGAGAATAGGAACCAGATCAATGGATTTGAACTACAGGAAATGAGATTCTGCCTAAACATTAGGAGGAACTTCCTGACAATAAGAGCTGTTTGATAGTGGAAGACATTCCCTTGGAAAGTGGTAGAGTCCTCTTCTTTGGAAGTCTTTAAACAGTGGCTGGATGGCCATCTGTTGGGGATGCTTTGATTGTAGGTTCCTGCATGGCAGAAGGGGGTTGGACTGGATGGCCCTTGGGGTTTCTTCCAACTCTATGATTCTGTGAATCTACTATCAATTGTTATAGCTGATGAAACATGGTGATGCAGTGATTAAATGCCAGTCCTGCAGCCATAAGGTTGTCAGTTTGATCCTGGAGCTCCAAGGCTGACTCAGCCTTCCATCCTTTTGTAGGTTGGTAAAATGAGTCCCCAGGTTTTTGGGGGCACTTGGCCTACAGATGTATACCGTTTAGAGAGTGCTGAGTTCACTATTAAGCGGTATAGAAATGTAAATGCTACTGCAAATGAGCATCTGGACATTAAAAATATATTCCTTCTGAGTTAAGTAGGTTAGGCACTCTCGCCTTCTACTTTCATCACTCTTAACTTCCTGAGCAGAGACATTCCTCACCCAGTGCTGCTTGCTGAGATAGTTTCCATTGGAGTTGCTTAGGACTAAACCAAGAATCAACGCATTGCAAAAATGGTATATACCACAAGGGTCTTCTCTGAGTTGGAGCTCAAACAGTTCACCAGCTCCAGAGTATGATCTTGCGAAGGACATTTATGTTCTGTCAGTTGGTTGCTGGTGGCTGCCTTGTCAGTATGGCAGTGAGTCTCATCTGACTTTTAGCCTAAAACTGAAAGGAGCCATCCAGGGTGTTGAACTGTATCTCCCAAGTAAATTCAGCACATGGATAGCTCTGATTAAAACATGGAGCAGCTTCACTGCCATGCTAACATAGAAGCCACCAGCCACCACTGCTGCCAACCTCTATTGTGATTTATACAATTGGAATCCGAAGAGTTCCCTCTTGGCACTGAAGGGATGGTTTTATAAAGTTTACTCCTAATAGTGTAAATAGCGTATGGGCAAGAAACATACAAGGACACTTCTCAGGAAACTGGGATTGATTGTGGTTTTCTGTTGAGGATATTAGTTGTCATTAGGGTTCAAATTGAGTCCTCTTCTGTGGTTAAGCCTGTTTATGGGTGGTATTGCAACAGCTTCAGTAGTGGCCCAAAGAACTGGAGGATTAGAAGTTATTCTAGATGCCACCATCCATCTTTGGCCAAAGGGAATTTTTTGAAAACAAGAATGATTAGATTCCTTCCGGAACGATATCCCAGATATATTTCATCTGAATCAGGCAAACAAAGGGCTTAGTTCTCAGTGGGCGAAGTCTGAGCTGTTCCACTCTTGATAGCAAGCGTAAACTAATATTTTACACACATACGTCCTTGCACACACAAAACTAACATAGCAGAGAGATGGCTTTGTTACATCATTTGCCCCTGGCATCACATACTATGTATGCAGGAATATTGTTGTTGGAGAACAATACAATAATGTGAGCCTCTCTTTGGCCTCTGAATCAGTGTACCTTAAATGTTGCTGGCCACCTCTGTGAGAACTTAAACATGATTCTAACCAGTAAGCACGATTGGAAACCATGGGGCACCTGAGACTTGACTTCTTTGAAACCTTGAACAAGAGTCCCAGTGGTAATTTCATCTGGCTGCGTCTGACCCAGCAGAGCAAGCAGGGTTAGAACAATCCAGCATATGGATCACATTCCAGCAGTGCATCTCAACCACACCTGTTGTGCAGGACTCCCATTCCAGATCTTGCTCTTGCAACCACTCGTATTGTTGTTGTTAGCTGCCCTCAAGTTGATCTTGACTCATGGCGACCCTGTGCATGAGACATCTCCAAGCCCCCATCCTCCTGTTCTGACTTGTAAATTCAGACTCATGACCTCCCTTACTGAGTCCATCCATCTAATGTGCAGTCTTCCTCTCCTCCTCCCCTCTACCTTTCCTAGCATTATTGTTTTATCTAGTGATTCATGTCTTCTCATGATGTGGCCAAAGTACAACAGCCTCAGTTTGATCGTCTTGGCTTCCAGTGAGAGTTCAGGCCTGATCTGTTGGAGGACTCATTTATTTGTCTTTTTGGCTGCCCACAGTATCCTCAGCACCCTTCTCCAGCACCACATCTTAACTGAGTTCATTTTCTTTTTATCCACTTTCCTCAGTTTCCAGCTCTCACATCTGTACATGGTGATGGGGAATATAATGGATTGTAAGATTCTAACTTTAGTGCTCAGTTGTATATCTTTACTCTTTAAGATCTTATCTAGTTCTTCCCATTCCTAGTCTTCTTCTAATTTCTTGAGTGCAGTCTGTTTTGAGCAATGTTTGATCCAAGGTATAGAAAATCTTTAACTATTTCCATTTCCCTATTGTCTAGGTTGAATACATATACAGTATTTCCTAGTATTGTGTTTTGTTTTTTATCACCAGGACTTGCTTAATAGAGAAGGGGAAGCTTGCAACTGGCCCCTGCCAGTGTTCAAGTTGCTGAAAATGCAGACAGGGACTGAGTAGAGTTGCAGATTTGCACCCGTGCAGAGATGCTTGCAGTGCTCTCTTCAGATTCTGTGATGGCAGCTCATTTGGCCACTTTAATTTGGGTCAGTGAGTGATGCTGTGTTCATTTCTATTTGTTGTCCTGCGGGGAAGCAAGAATCAGCACCGTGTCTAATGAACCAGCTTGCAGGTTTTGCTGAGAGCTTACTGGTGGAAAGCAACATAATAAAGTCTTTGCTCCTTAATAGGCTGTTAATTTGAGTTGGTAATTTCCCCCTTGGGTTCATGAGCCAGAAATGTTTGCGAAAAAAGCCAGTGTCTCAGTGGTGTTCCTTTGTTTCTGAAAGGTCAGAATTGCTGTCCATTCTCCAAATGTCCAGAATGGTTGCAGACAATGTCTGGTTTGCTGAAGAAGTCCTTTACAAGGCAACTGTTTCATTAACACCTCTACCATCAGTGTAGTTTGGAGGCAGGTTGCAGAAATGTCTTCCCCTACAACTCCTTTACATCTAATCCTTAAGGCATCCTTCCTCAACCTGCTGCTCTCCAGGTATATTGAATCATCTCTCCTGTAACTCCTCACCACTGACTGTACTGGCGGAGGGTGATGGATGTCACAGTCCAATACACCAAGGGGAGGCATACTAGGCTGCTCTACATCCTAGTTGTCCTCATTGCCACTGAGGAGGGAAACCTGTGTCCGTGAGCTGGACCACAGCAGGCTGTGTTTAGTGGGGCGCCACAGTTTTTTGTGGGAGGTATGTGAGTGTTTGAACATGCATTCACTTCAGACAACCCTTACTTGAAGTCTGCAGTAGTTCAGCCCAGGGAATGTTTAATAATAATAATAATAATAATAATAATAATAATAATAATAATAATAATAATAATAATATTTATTTATATCCCGCTTATGTGATAAATCAATCTAAGCGGCTTACAATTAAATTACAATTACAACCCTGGTGAGACCTGTGTCATGGAGGATGGTTGTGGGGCAGATTCCCAGGTTATATTCTGAACTGTATTCCTGCAGACTGTTGAAGCAGCAAGGACTCTCAGGCATATAAAAAGTGACCTGTGCTTAAATTATTGTTGTCATGTGCCTTCAAGTCATTTCCTACTTATGGTGACCCTAAGGCAAACCTATCATGGGGTTTTCTTGGCAAGATTGTTCAGAAGAATTTTGCTATTGCCTTCCCCTGAAGCTGAGAATGTGTGACTCACCCAAAGTCATCCAGTGGGTTTCATGGTTGAGCTGGGAATCAAACCCTGGTCTCTAAAGTCATAGTCCAAAACTCAAACCACTACGCCACGCTGGCCCTGTGCTTAAATTACCAAGTGGAAGGGGCATTGCACTGTAAGGAGTTTTCATTTCACCTTTTAAGGAGTCATTCATCCCTGTATATCAGAGCTTGGAAGAAATTGTTTTGGGGCGGCGGCAGCTGGTGGATTCCAGGAATACAAGTCTAAAAGAAAGTTTTCCAGATTCTGCTGTGTGCGCACATGCTAGGTGTATGCACACTGCCATTTTTCTATTTGGTCCTGCTCAGGGACCATTTGGGCAGCTCAGTTGAGACAGAGAGGGGCATTTTGTCAAGGACTGCAGAATCCAGTGCTGTCCTTTCCTCTCTTTTTCCTGATAGTGTGTGGCTTGACTCAGTTGCTCGATCTGTTCAAGAGATTTGATCTGAGGTCTTCTTGCATTCGGCCAACTTGCATACCTGTGTAGTACAAGTGTGGTCTGGGCAGTTTATGGAAAGTGTTAGTCTTCCTTTGGACCCAAGGGTTTTCCTGGACGGCTACCTTCTCTATCTGCTCATCCTCAACCCCTTTCCTGCTGCAGGGTTTTAAAGAAAACCCTCTCTGTGTTGTTAATACTCTACAGAGCATGCTCTTCTCATTTGAATCTCCACATTTCCCTGAAACAAAATTCGTTCAGAGCTGTATTGAGTTTCTTCTTTTAGTGGACCAGCCAAATTGGGTTTTTCCCTTCCCTTAAACGAACTGGCCTTGGATAACACAGGAATGGACACACTATTCCTAAATCCTTTCTTGGATTTCCAGCAAATAATCCATCTCCAGCTCCTCCCAAGTTCTAACCACCATTCTCCTCGACTCCCCACGACTTTTTTCCAGGTCATGCTGTAGCCCCCTGCCGGACACGGGGCCAAACTGCAAGCCCTTCCAATTGGCTCTCAACTCTGTGCCAAAAGAAGAATTTGTCACCTTTCCCTTTGTGGTTTCCCTCCCTCCTCTTTCCCCCTGGAACATGCTGGAGGGCCGCAGACGAGGTTTTCAGGGAAAGAGGCTCGTGGGAACTCCAGCTGCTGATGAAGGATCCTTTGCATCCATGTCTTTGTGTGCATGTGTCTAAGGGGGCTGTAACCATGAAAAAGGTGTGTGTGTGTTTGTGTGTGTGGATTTGGAGTGTGAGCATCATGGGTAGGGGGGAGCTGTCATGACCCATGCCATTTCAGAAGAACCACAAACACTTTATAGTAACAAAGGAGTGGAAAAAGCCAGTGCTTTTTCTGCAAGGCATGTGACTCTTCCCTGAGGTTTGGAACCCAGCGCTATGTTCCAGGCCTCAGTGGTTGCGTGTCAGCCTTGGTGAGGTTGGTTTCTCCCATCAGCCTTTCATGGGGTTGCTGTCGCAGCCGAGAACACTGCCTAAATGTATGTGTTTTCTTTCTTTCTTTCTTTCTTTCTTTCTCTACCCCACCCGGGCCCCTTTTTCTCTTCTCTCCCCTCCTGCTGCAGCTAAAACTCTCATTTACTTTGGACAAGGAGAGCGGGATGCCACAAGGCTGTTACATCTATCAGTACCGGGACAGCAACAAGTAAGGCCTGCAAAGTTGTACAGGGAAAGGAAGGGATGGAGGAAGCAAAGGGATGCAAGGCAGTTTACCTGCCCATTTATTCTCACTTACTTGCATTGGGAGTTGGAACTCTTTGGCCACTAAGGGACACTGTAGCTTTTGGACTACACCTGAAATCCAGAATTTTGACTTTCACTTATTTATCTATTTATTTATTTGGATTTATATCCCACTTTTCTCCCAATATGGGACCCAAAGAGGGTAGTATTAGTAATATTAAATTCTCCTATATCTTTGTATTTTGTCCTTCCCCTTGGTTGCTAAGCCAGACAGTTTAGCTTTGCCCTGTAAGGTTGGTTACCATAATGATAACTTGGACACTTTGTGAACCTTGTAGTCACACGTGGAATTGAACCCAGGCCTACCCCAGAACTGATGCCTGCTTATGCAGGGGTTGCTTGAAACAGTAAAGCAAATGGTGGTGGGGCTAGCTCTGCCACCAAGGCAGATATGTGTGGCACTCACCTGCTGCTTAATGGGATTGCCTTTTATTGGTGCTTGTCTTGAACTAGAAGAAGAGAGGGCAGTTGACAATTTTTGCATGGGCAGGCCCACCCCAGTACATGTGGGGTTGCTTATACTTTAACATTGTTCTGATGCAAAGACAAGGCTGTGAGTCAAATGTAGAGCCTTTCAGGTGAAAGGTAGAACCCAGGAATGAAAAATGAGGGTCTCCTCATACCAGGGATCAAGAGTACATTGGTAAAAGCGGAGAGAAAATGTTCTGTTCATCCAGTTTACTTTACAAGTCCATTGCCTTCCAAGTTATGTGATCAATAGATGGTATCAGAGTAGGACAGACCAGACTCATCATAGTCAAGACTACAACTGTGCTAGAAGCACAGGAGTGCTTCCATAGCAAGCTCATTCGAATCCAGGTACAGAATACACATCAAAACCAGTCAAAATCATATCAAGTCAATCTATAGATAGATAGATAGATAGATAGATAGATAAAAATAAATAAAGATCACACACACAAACATGCAGTGATTTTAAGAGAGAATTAAATATTTAGGAGACAGTCTAGAAAATGTTTGTTCATTCTATAGATGCATAAAGCTGGGGCAGGATTTAATCCCAGGCCATGCTACAAATTGGTGGCACAGAATTCAAACATATATGGAGTACTAGAGATAGCCAGCCAACATAGCCACAGACAACAGGCCAAGTAATATTGTGTGTTGGATAGATAAGGGACCAAGCATCTAGAACACTCCTGTCCTTTTTACATCCAGCCTAAACACCCAGAAATCCCCTCTGTCTTACAACAAGGAGATAAAATAGATGCCCATTCATACACTAGTTAGTGAGACAGGCTTGTCTGAGGCTGCCACCTGTCCACCTGTGAACAGAGATGAATCCAGAAGAACTAGAGACCTGCAAAAGAGGAAATGGGGGAAGGGGGGAGAGAATGATCCCATTCACTCTTTCCTGGATCCCTCAGTTATAAGCAATTCCATCTTGTTTTGATTGAACGTATTTAATTGGTCTTTACCCACTCTGTTACTAAATCCAGAGATTTTTGGAGATGAATTTGACAAAGGGGAGAAACGAACTCAGTGTCACTGAAATTTTGATAATTCCTGTAACCAGTGTGTCCCAGAAGTTTGAAGTAAATGTTAAGCAGCCCTGGAGACCAGGTGAGAGTCAGCAAGACTCTTCAGTGCAAGTGCCGAGGAATCACACCTCTCATCTGTAAGGGTTTACAACACTTGCAGAGGAGGTTAGGACTTGGTGGGTCCACACAGCAGCAAACACCAAACAGTTTAGACATTCATGGAAAATACACTTCCGTTTGTGCTTGCTGCCCTCCTGATTCCAGAGGTGGAATTTAAGAATTACCTCCTAATCTCCCATCATGGATTTTCGTCTGCAGTTACACCCATTTCAGAGAGAAGGCCCTGTCTCCCATAAAGGACAGAGGAGGCATCAACATTTAGTGATGGTTACATGAATTAATGTTTACTGCATGAGACTCATGCATTCATCCTCTCTTTTGTAACCAGGAAGAGAAGATTAGAAGGATCCACTTCTGACCTTCAAACAAGCCAGAGTTTTCCCCATTACATTTGAATTGTGGCGTGCTTTGAAGATGGTTTAAGATCCTGGCTTGTTCATTAACTAGGCTTGAATTAAACCACGGTTTTCTAAGTTCAGGCAAAATGGGGTAACTCTGGCTTCTTTAAAAGAGGAAGCCTTTCCTACCTGCACATTGCTTTTTCTTGCTTGCAGGGCTGCGATTTTGTGGGTGAAGGGGTAGAGCTGATAGGAGCATGAAGGAGGATTGTGTCCTGAAGGTTTGGGGTCAGCTTTCTCCCAGCCCTCTCATTCTCTGACCTGGCTTGCCGAAGGAGGGCCCCTTTGTAAGAACACTGGCTCAGTTCTAAGTAGGTCTGGCTCTCCTTTTTATGATGGTGATGCTGCTGGCAATGCATTGCGTGCTCAGTTCCCATATTAACATGGAGCAATGTTTGTACTACATCTACTAGAAACCAAATGGGATAGTAAGTGAGGTTGCTGTTTCCATACAGAAGAGGCTTCATCCTCTGAAGAAGCCCACTGAGAGGAGCTAAGCCTAGCAAAAGCTCAGGTGGAACAGGGTTGTCTTGATGGCTCATAACCAAAGACCCATTTTTAGACTTCTCAAGAATGAGATAAAATCACCAGAAACTAAAACTAAAACAAGCTTGCTCCAGCCTCAACATGATATCCCTTCAAATATTTAAGCAGGGACATCACATCACCTCTTAACCTTCTCTTCTCGAAGAGCTCAATGATTCCCAGAGATGGTGTGCCTAGCTTGAGCTTCTGGAGGGGCAGAGGAGTTGCAGGTCCCATGCCCATAGGCCTGCCCCTATAAGGCTTCTTACTTTGTGTAAGGAGGGAGTCTGAGAAAGGGTAATCTTAGGGCTTGTCTATAATGGTAAAAAATGCCATACTCACCCAAAAGCTGGTGCTGGCAGTCCTGATGACAACCCTTAGCGCAACATTGCTCCAAACTAAGCAAAGTCAGGGGAAATCCGGGTGTTTCCCAGAAATCTAGAGTGATCTTGGGTTCTTTGGGCATGTGTACAACTAGATTGGGCTGAATTGGTTACAGCTGAAGGATGCCTTGTCCATACCCCAAGAGCTACCTCTGAGCAGGGCAGGGCAAAGAAGATGGCCTATTTTTAGAGCTGCCACCACCATTTATTGACAGGCAAGAGCTCCGTGTAAAGCCTGCCTGGTGAATCACAACTTCTGTTGAGGTCAGAAGGGGTGCCCAGAATCCTTGTTGAGGATGTTTCTGACCTCAGCAGAAGCAGCGGCACACCATGTAGGCTTTACACAAAGCTCCTGCTTGGAGGAAGAAAAGACAATATTGCTAGGAAAGGTGAGGGAAGTAGAAAGAGAGGAAGACTGCATGCTAGATGGACAGACTCAATTAAGGAGGTCAT